GGAGACTGGGGACGGGGGGAATCGGCGGGGATGGGGGGGGAAGCTTACCTGCTGCTGCTGCTTCCTCCTGCTCTGCCTGAAGCTCTCCCCCCCCTCCGCGAGTATCGCGGGTCCCCTTTCTTGTATGTCCCTACTTTTAAAAGAGCAGAATGTGTTTAATTTTGTTTAGCATCAAGTACTGTTTTGATCCCAGATGCCTTTTCACTATAAAAATATTGTCTGCAATAATTATTTCAAAAGAAGGCGAAAGTTGTTTGCAGCCCTGTAGGTTCAACAGTAGAACCCCAAAACAACTAACTTCCTCACCCCAGTTATCTTCATAATATTTTTTATTGGAACCAATCACAATGACATCAAACAGTGTTCAAGCTCTCGAGTTCAGTAGAATTTTTCATCAGGCTGACTGTTACAAAAATGACAGTGAGGTAGATGCAAAAAAAGATTTCTTGGGCCATGATTCTATGCAGTAATGTTTGCAAGATGTAAATAAAGTTTCATACTTGATGAACTGAAAATTATTCTTCATATTTCATATAAAATATAAATCTAGCATATTGTGAATTTTACATGATGTGTAAATTCAGGCTTATCTGCCTCATTTGTAAGATATCTGTTTAACAGTAAACTTATTAACTTTTTTTAGGTACGGAATCCGCCCTGAAAATGTGATTATATATGGCCAAAGTATAGGAACAGTGCCATCTGTGGATCTTGCTGCTCGTTATGAAAGTGCTGCTGTAATTCTTCATTCTCCTCTAACCTCAGGGATGCGTGTAGCTTTTCCTGATACTAAGAAGACCTACTGTTTTGATGCATTCCCGAAGTAAGCTTAATATTTTAAAAGATTTGAGAGTGGGGAAGAACTACCTGGCATGCTCCTCATAGGAAATCCAGAAGGAAGTAAAAAATGCTAGTGTGTTTTAAAGTACTGATTAACTAGGAATTGGCACTTCCCCCTCCGCCACCAATTGGCCCCACTGTTGGACCTGCTGATGGCACCTGATATTTTTGGCCACTGTGTGATTGAGTGTTGGACTGGATGTGCCATTGGCCTGATCTAACATTGGCTTCTCTTATGTTCTTATGATCAATTACAAGTCAAGTAGACATGGTAGTTGTTTCTGATCATGCCTTGGTCCTCATCCAGTTGCTAATCAGTAGAAGGGCTTATACACACACAGACACAAAATTATGAAAAATTCAAAGCACAAATGACTGAAATATTAGATTATTTCATTTTCAGTGCAGACTCTGTACCTTCTTAGGCTACCATTTAAGACCTGTATAAGCTACATGTATACCTTGAGCTGCGGTGGCTCAAGGGGTTAAGATGCTGAACTGCAGGCTGTGGAAGGTCGGTAGTTCAGCAGTTCGAGACCCAGGTTGCCACAAGACGGAGTGAGCTCCCGTCTCTAGTTCCAGCTCCTGCCAACCTAGCAGTTCGAAAGCAAGGAATTGCAAGTAGATAAATAGGTACCACTTCAGTGGGAAGGTAACAGCGTTCCGTGCGCCTTGGTATTTAGTCATGCCGGCCACATGACCACGAAATGTCTTCGGACAGCGCTGGGTCCTCGGCTTTGAAATGGAGATGAGCACCGCAACCCTAGAGTCGGACTCGACTGGCTTTCGAGCAAGGGAAACCTTTACCTTTACTATACCAATATGCTACAGGCAGCTCAGATAAAAAAGAAATGAATTAATCTAAAATTGAAGGCTCTATTAAAGGATTGATAGCCCAATATGCCATCCAGCCTACCAAGAAGAATTAGCAACAATTAACACTGTTAATTGTTATCCCTAACTGTTATCCCTAACACTGTTAACATATCCCTAAAAAGCTGCATTTACCCCTGTATATTAAAAGCAGTATTACGGAGAAAAAAGACAAAGTTCATTATAGATTACTGGTTTATGGCTTTATAGTGTATAAACCGAAACAAATTTGCACTGGAAATTTCATTCCCTTAACCAGGAATACAGTAAAACAATAGTGAATTATTTGAAAAATTTCGTTACAATTTTGAAGTAAATTACTCAAACTTGGAAACCTTAGGTTTTCTTCACGGTGTCTCCCTATTGAAGACTTGAGTGGCTGCCCAAGCAGAAATGTCTTTGCCCTAGCATTGCAAGGCCCCCAGTCTGGGTGGGGGAAACCTTGCCCGCAAATGCCCCAAATGCAATGTAATGATGTCACCTGAAGTGACATCATCACATCACCACTGTCGGGAGGTGATGCTCTAGTTTTAGGATAAAACTCTGGTAAAATTGGGCTCAAGCCATAGAGTTTTGCCCAAAAACTAGATATCAGAGACGTGAAGACATCACTTCTGGGTGATGTTGTTGCGACGCCAGAAGATTCTGGGACAGACCCTGGAGCCCCCTGCTGGCAGCCAGGTAGGACCTGGCAACACTATTTTGCCCTGTAAGAAAATGTGACAAAATGGATTATAAAAGACTAGGAAAAAGGCCCGTTGTGGAAATAAATACAACGGCCTCTAGAAAGAGGCTCTAGGCGGGTGCCCTGGCCTTGGACACTCAGTGTCAGTTTGCTGTGGTGACCTCAGCAGGGTATAATGACACTAAGTCCACCATCTTCTCCAGAGGAACTGATCTCTGCTACCTAAAGAACAGTTGTAATTTTGAGTGCTCTCCAGCCCTCGCCTGGAGATTGGCAACGATGGTTCCCCAGAAGGGAATGGTTGGTTTGGAGGGGGGAGTCTATGGCTTTGTACTTGTCTGAGGTCCCACACCTCCTGAAACCTCACCCTCTCCAGGCTCCATCCCTCACATCTCCAGGAATTTCCCACCTGGAGTTGGCAACCCTTTCTCCTTCCCAGCCAATCAACCTACCTTTATTTCCCCCTCACTCTTCAGCTTTCCACCCCCCACACACTTGCAGCCTCTCCTGTGCTCTGAAGCCCTGACTGCTACATCACATTGGCTGTCATACGGGGGCCACCTCAGCAGTATATAAGGATACAGAGCCCACCATTTTCTCCAGGGGAACTGATCTCTGCTGTCTGGAAAGCAGTTGTAATTCTGAGTGATCTCCAGCCCTCACCTGGAGATTAGACACATTTTACCTCAGAACAGCAAAGTGTTTAGAATGTTAGAGGCAAAAGCCAATCAAGTCGCATATGCAAACGGCCTCTGTGTTCCAAGGCAAAGGCCAGTGAGGCTGCATATGCAAATAACCTCTGTGTTCTGACTAGCTATGGGGGGAGAGGAACAGCAAAATGTTTAGAATGTTGGTGGCAGGAGTCAGGCAAAGCAGCCAGTGGATAGGGAGAATCTCTGAATGACAGATCAGAGAGCGAACTGATTTTGGAGCGTGTGGAATGTTCTAGAGAAGTGTCACCACCATTCGGCTTTTATTTATAAGGGAGATAAGCACAATGCTAAGACCAGAGACCAGCTACATTCCAGTAGAGTAGTACGAGAGGTACTCTGAGTTAATGCCTCACCTTTACTTGAAAGCACTGGAGAATGGGAAAATTGCCCCATCACTGCATGATGTCTATTTATCAGTCATTCCCAAGTTAGGAAAACTCCCAAATCAACACAATATTTTGATTACAGGCCTGTATCCCTAATCATCATAGCCGACACAGATTCTACCATACTAGGCAGGTTATAAATGGGATTGCATACACCCAAATCAAATAGTCCTATTCAGAAGTTCCAAGACAACAGTGTAGACCTAAACTTGTTAACACAAGCAAAACTTGACCCTGTATTGTTTAAAACATTCATGTTTAATCATCTAAGGCATGGTATGTGCTGGCTTAAAGGTTTCCAGTAAATTATTGACAGTTAAGTAATGTACATGTCTTATAACTTCAGATAACACTACATTTACTGAAGCATCAAGTAAATAATATATTTGTATTATGACTAGTTGCTTATTTTTTTCTGTGTTCTTACAGCATTGACAAAATCTCTAAAATAACATCTCCAGTGTTAATAATTCATGGGACTGAAGATGAAGTGATTGACTTTTCACATGGCCTAGCATTATTTGAACGCTGCCAAAGACCTGTGGAACCACTGTGGGTAGAAGGAGCGGGACACAATGATGTTGAGCTTTATGGACAATATCTTGAACGATTAAAACAATTTGTTTCACAGGAACTGGTGAATTTGTAAATGGCTTTATACAGTTTTTGCTGTCAATTTTTTTGTGTGAACTGCACAATTTAGTAACCACAACATAAAACCTGATAGTTTTGTTTTCAAATCAGGTGAGTTGCCTTCATAAATGTACAGGTAATGATTTGTAAACATAATTAATGAAGGTTTTAAAACCCAGTGTTAACTGGAACAATGAATGATAGAGACAAGCTTGTGTGGTTTGTATATTTTGTGCAAGTTTTCTTAGACTATACGTAAGTCAATTTGCAAGTCTTTCTTAAGATGTACAAAAATCATAGGGAGGAAAGCGAAATTTTAATTATGTAAAATCATATGCTGTAAAAGTGTTGCCAAATGCTTTAGCATATCAAACAAGTTTATATACAATATTTTTAAAACATCTCAAAGTGTACTGTGACTTACTGTGTTGCACAGGTGTTATTGAAGCATTTGTAAAGTACAGATAGCCATTGCATTTGGAAGAATAAGAAAGGATATGAAAACACCCACTGGATTTTACAGGCCCTATTATATAGGGAACAAGTCAAAACAGATGTTTTATTAATTTTTCATGTCTTATACTCAATGTTGCCTCTCTTTTCCTGGATGATCAATAGCCAAAAATGCCTATTTGGCCACTCATGTTGCTCTGTAAAAATAGGCACAAAATGCTGATTCATCTTAAAATTCCTATTAACAGAGTCCATACTAATGCAACTAAATTTTGAAGTCAGTAAGACTTGTAAAGATGTTTGGCCATTTTGAACTGATCATGTGAAGAATCAGAACTTCACTAATAATTCTTAATGTGATCTGAGATTTGTATTGGCAGACATGCAAAGCTGAAGTCATTTCAGGTTTGATTTGAATGTTTATAAGTGTAAGACTAACAGTTTCAGTTATTATGAAATTTCTACTAATGTACTCCTATATAGTGAAAAGAATGTCGACAATTAACTCATAGTAAAATAAGTTGCCTTTCCCTTGAATAAATTTTGCTTGAATAAAATATAATCGACCTACAAATGTAGCCTAATTTGTAAACAAAGTAATATTCCAATACACACTGTGCTTCTAATTTTAAAGCCTTATGTACTTGTTCTGCTCAATGTTGTGATTGTCTGAGAATATTCAATAATGTATTATGTATTGTGAATGCTTAGGTTCCAGTGTGTTAAACCTGAATGAGAGAATTCCACACACTTGATACTGAGTTGTTTCTGCAAAGTGTAAACTGTCAGTTCCTGACTAATCCATTCTTCTTGATGAGAGAAAAGGCTAGAATAGCATAATTCCTGATGTGATAAGAATATCTTGCCAAAACCTGCTGATCTAATAACCTTCACCTTTTTCCTTCCAGAGGTCTTCCCTATTTTCATCATATTTCTGCTTGAGCCAAGGTATTTTTAACAGTCTGTAGTTCGCTAAAAATCATGCTCGTTTCTAATTTAAGCTTTGGATAGATTTTATATTTTATAAATGAAGGACTGAAGGACTGAACACATTATGTATACAGAGTATGTCATTTTTAGACTGTTGGGAGGTAGCAAATGTCAAAGATTTCAAGCAGTTACTATCTCAGTATAATGCCAGACTCAACTGAAACATGAGGTAATACATTGTGACATATTTGTACACCACTTGCCTTCTCCCCCCCCCAGTGTAAAGGGGAACTGCTGCCATGACCAGAATAATGGCTGCAGATAATCTCTCCCAATGTCACACTGAGGCATGTCTGTGGCGTTCCCTACCCTACACAGAAGTAAACAGGTTGAGGAAGAAGGGAAACTAGTTAACCAGTATGAACTGATCTTGTGTTAGTGAAGAAAGGCTTTCAGTGCTAGTAGAAAAAATATCTCTCTTGTTCAGTTTGTTAAAGACCACAAACTGGTAACGTGTGCTAGCTTTGCTTCATACTCTGTGAGGTAGTTTAATCAAGATAAACTTACTTGGCATGTAAATTTAAGTGCCTGAGTAAAATCTGGTGGCTTACCATACTGCAAAATATGCATGCATTCATAACAATGAGACCTTTGTAAGTGTCACATTTACTAGAGCAATTTTATAATGTGCAACTTGAATTTTTATAGGCTCTATCTTCATTCAAGTATCTTTTGAAGATCTATTCTGTATCATTAAAATCAATGAGTTAGTTATCCTTCATGAGAGCAGAAACCTGTTCACTCCTGAAGTCCAGTTCTGTGAGTGTGTCTATTACATTCAGCACTTATCAGAAAAATGTTGAACTGGTTTTATATCAGATTTATGCTTGGAAAAGATGGTCAATGGAACATGGGTACTACACTGTATTTAGTTTAGATGTGATATTGTACAAAAGGAGAAATAGCTATGTTAATTTTTTGGACAACAGAAATCCTAGTAGCTGCCTTTCCATCCCAATGATTAGAAGGCACATAACAGTAGTGTTAATTCTGCAGACTTTTTATTTCTTGTATAATTCAAAATCATAGTGTTTCACATTTGAAATCTGTATAGATCAATTTAATTCTAATATCACTCCATGTAGGCTCTAAAAAACGTGTATTTTGGCAATACTTTTTTAAAAAGCAAATTAAGGCACCATATTTTAAGTAGCTATATATCTGCACTGAGAATTGAGCTGGGGTTGGTAGCTATGCTACCCCACTGTAGTCTGTGCATGTAGTTCCATTTTGGCAGTGATTTGATATTCAAATGCCAGCTGTTTTGTTAACTTGCTGTAAGATGGCTGCAGCCATGTGGAGAGCTATTATCTATTCATTCTGAGTAGGTAGCAAGGTGAATATTTATCCCATACTCACTGCCTCAAATTTCAGATTGTAATCATGAGGCAAGTAGAAGAATTTTCCTCATAGTTGTCTGTAGTGTCAAACAATGTGGCTGAAATTGCCTCTCTGAAGTGGCTGCTGTGGCAAAGCAGGCATCTATATTCACCTTGGAGGATTCTTTGGGTAGTGTACCAATTCATTTCTTTATTGGCTAGAAAAGAAGGAAGGTGCATCCTGTGGATACAGCAAATCATAACTATTGTCAGAAAGGCTGCAATTACGTGTGTAAAAGGTTATTTAAATTGTCTACTATTCCTCATACATGGAGAAGTGTGATGAACTTTGTCAGACTGTGGCTATTTCTGAGAACTTTTGACTAACTTGGGTCATGTAAGTTAATATTGTGGATTGGAAGAAGAAAGATTCCACTTCATAACTCAAAGATAGAAGCTACCAAAATATTAGTATTTTTGGAAATACTGAAAGCAAAGAGTGTTCATATTTGCTCATGGATAATAGAATCAAGTTGCCTGCTCGAGATATTTCGCACAAGGCTTTTATGAGGAGGTGAGCCAGAGAGAGCCTTTTTGTGCCAAGAGAGGTAAGTATAGCTTTTATTGCATCTCCATTTAGTAGAACCCTGATATTAAAACCAAATCATATTAGCCTAGACACTTCCAAGCTTGACCTGATGCTAATTCTTCACTGAGACACTTTATAGAGCTACTGGTGGGCAGTGATTATTGCATTAAGTGAGAAGCCATTGATCAAAAACTCTAGCTAACTTATAATTTGGACTAATGCTTGAAGTATTGGAAGGAAGGAAAAGGCAGCCATAGATTTTCAGATTTGTTTTGTTCCTGTGCTGTATCTGGCTGGTCAAAAGTAATGTGGATAGTTTGGGAGAAAGGCAGGCTGTCAGGGTGAATCCTGCTACCTTAGAGCAAAATTGACATTTCTTTCACAACACTGTCTGGTTTCAGTCTTACCACTACCTCAAACTGCTCTGTTACTTTGGGATACTTGAGTCCCTGCCTTTGGAAGTGTGTTAGGAGACAGTTATGGATGTGTTCGATTAATACAGTGTCTAAAACATGTTTTCCATAAACACTGCTGGTAAATTCTCTGAAATGAAAACTATCTGCATTGAGTCAAAGGTGAAAAATGTTAAATGTTCTTTCCAGCTGTTGGCTAACCATTTTATTTTTCCTTTTTGATAAGAGTTGGATTAATCTTAATGTTGGATCTAAACATTATCCACTGTCTTAACTGCTCAAAAATTCTGCTGATCATTGTATTTTAAGATAACTCAAATAAAACTCAGTTTTTTACTATATTCCTGTTTCAACTTTTGGTATGATTCTGTGTTTGCACATTATAGTCCTGAATACCAAAACAGGGAGGGGAAAAGGTCTCCTTTAGTAATGTTTCAAAAGTGTGCATTCTACAATGAAGTAGAACACCTAGCTTGTTTTCAGTAATATGTATTTTCAGGACCAGTTCACAAAATACAAAGTCCTTGTTCTCACCATGAAGACTTTGTATCACACATTTTCTGGGAGCTTTGTACTTCCCAGGCATTTTGATGGTGATTCTAGCATGTGTAGAGAAGAGACTTCAGCCTTTCCCATTTACTCTTTTTACAAATTGAATCTCCCCCCACTCCAATTTCAGTTTGCAAAAATGATGCAGAATACAGCCCTTGTGCATGTGGAATGCAACATCCTTGTGGCCACAGAGATCTTGTATCATATGAACTGGCCTACAGGAACCTATTTTAGATTTAGGTATCAGTTCAAATCTATGAAGAATTACTCCAATCAAAACCCACTGAAATCAATAGTCTTGGGGTAAAGTAACTGCATAGCTTTGGATTGTACATTTGTTACAGCACCACAACAAATGGTAGTCTGTAAAGTAGTATGGCATCAGCTTTTGTTACTAGTGTCCACTTCATCTCTTAATTGGTGGACCCAAGCATTGCTTTATAGTAGAAACTCACTCCTACAAACTTTCAGTTGCCACACAGAGCCTTCTACACAATCGGGATCTACAATCAAGCCTTACGATATGACTGCATTTGTTCCAGGAACTCACATTGGAAAGACTTACACTAGTCATTCTTAACTACAGGACATGCCCATTGAACTACTGAGATAACAGCATCAGGATCGTACCCAGAATAATTAGTATAGGAAGACTTGACAAATCCAGGGCACTGGGTAGTCATGGTGCCTAGTAATTTAGTTGGGGTGCCAAGTATTTTTAGCAATGACTTTATTATGATGACAGCCAGGGTTACCCCCTTATTTAGATACCTCAACATTTGCCATACAGCTTTGAATAAAATTATGAAAAACTGAAGTGTTCATTGTGGTTGCAGTCATTAGAAAATATAGGCATTCAAATACAAAGGTTGAAGGCTGAAAAATGAGTCTGGTGACTTCCAGAGCAAAAGCAAATTTGTGCTATAGAACAGGGCCAAAAGAGAGAGAGAGAATGCTCCTCTGCTTATTGTCTGCATCTCGTAGGTAGAATCACTCCCAATGTACTGTATAGCCCACCCTGGACCCTCTTTTCTCCCAGGTCTTCGGCAGTAGGGTTAGGGTCCCTGTCCTCACTTACATTAACTACTACTCAACCTAGGGACTAGGTTTTTGCAAACTAAATTCCAATTGTTTTTCCATATCCACTCAAATAGCAGTATGAAGGAGTACAGTAACAGACCATTCACTTACTACCTGTGCAATTAGATCTATGCCCTTTGTGGCTTGTGAAATTGCTTAGGGAAATGCTGACAAACTGGATAGTACAAATTATGAAACATTCTTTGCAAGAAGTTACAATGCCCATGGTGTTCAAAGTTATCAGGCCCCTTTTGAAGATGTGTTGTTTTCGCACATGCTGAATAATGCACTTTCAGTCCACTTGAGTGAGTGATTGCAAGTGGATTTTGCCATTTCACACAGTAAAAATCCACTTGCAAAGTGCATTATTCAGTTTATTCAGTATGTGTGAAAGCACTAATGTCTTCAAAAGAGGCATAACCCAACACTAATGTCTTCAAAAGAGGCATAATCCAATCTCTTTTTGGAGGGGAAGGTCATGGATAGAGTGGCAACCGGGCAACTCTAATCTCTGTTGTCGTGGAGGTCTCCAGATGCTTGTAAATGAAAT